TAGATGTTGGACTCCCTTGAGCATTTATCATAAGGCTGGTCTAGTGGTGATGAATTCCTTCAGTTTCTGCTTGTCTTTGAGAGACTTTGTTTTTCCATCATTACTGAAGGTATCTTTGCTCAGTATAGGATTCTTGGCTGGCATTTTTTTTCTTTCAGCATTGTGAATATATCATCCCATTGTCTCCTGGACTATAAGCTTTCTGTTGAGAAATTGGCTGTTAGTCTAATGGGGATTTCCTTAGGTGTGACCTGATGCTTTTCTCTTGCTGTATTTAGAATTCTCTCTTTGTCTTTGACTTTGATGTTTTGACTATAATTTACCTCAGAGAGGACCTTTTGGAGTTGAATCTGTTTGGGAACCTTTGAGCATCTTGGATGTGTATGTTTTTATCTCTCTCAAGACTTGGAAAGTTTTCAGCTATTATTTAATCAAATAGGTTTTCAATGCCTTTTTCCTTCTCTTTTCCTGGAACACTCATAATTTGAATGTTTGTTTGCTTAATGGTGTCCCATAGTTCCTGTTGCCCTTTCATTTTTTAGAATTGTTATTTCTTTTTTTTGTCTTTGGGTAATTTCAAATGATCTATCTTTAAGTTCAGACGTTCTTCTGCTTGCTCTAGTCTGCTAGTGAAGCTCTCTATTGTAATTTTTTCATTCATTGAATTCTTTTGCAGGATTTCTGTTTGGTTTCTTTCTAAGATATCTTTCTTTATCAAATTTCTCATTCATATCATAAATTGTTTTCTTGATTTTGTTTAATTATCTATCTATAATCTCTCGCATTTCATTGAGTTTTCTTAAAGTAATTATTTTGAATTCCTTTTCTGGCAGTTCATTGATTTCTGTTTCTTTGGGATCTCTCACTGGCATGTTATTGTGTTCTTTTGCTGATGTCAATTTTTTTTGGTTTTTTGTTTCTTGTGTCCTTGTGTTGATGTCTGTACATCTGGTGAAACAATTGCCTCTTCCAAATTTTACAGAGTGGCTTTCAGAGACAGAGTCTTCACCTGCACGTTGCATCTTTGTGTGCTATTTGAAAAGGATGTGTTGGTTCTGTTTCCACATAGATGCAGTGGTGTACATCTGGTGAAACAATTGCCTCTTCCAAATTTTACAGAGTGGCTTTCAGAGACAAAGTCTTCACCTGCAAGTTGCATCTTTGTGTGCTATTTGAAAAGGGTGTGATGGTTCTGTTTCCACATAGATGCAGTGGTTTAGTCTCTGGGCAGGTTCTTCAGCTACAAACTGCATTGCCAGTAACTGTGTTTGTCTCAGTACCCTAGGCTGTAGAGATTTGTGGCAGCGGCAATGGTGTAGATTGTTAAGGTTTTTGGTGGCAAGAGCTTTTGGGGTCCTCCTGTTCTCGTTTTTCCCACAATGAAGCAACTTTGTTAAGATTTCTATTGGAGTTACATCTAACCCAAACTGCAAGCAGCTGTGGTGGTGCTAGGTTATAGGTACAGGTGTTTGGAGCAGCTGCGGAGCCTGGATCCTGGGTTCAGTTTCTCAAAAACCTATTATGGCACCTAGGTCTTAGGGAGCAGTGTTCACTCTCTGTGGCAGAGTTGGATGTTGATTGCCCACAGCACCAGGATCTTGGCTCTGTGGTCCCCCTGCCAGCTCGGGCTCTGTGGGCTGGGTTATAGCTGGTACTCTGGCCCTGGAGGAGTGAGCACAGCAGAGGGGTTCAAGTCTGTGTTAGAAGGGGTGCTGTAGGCCTGGGGAGCAGAGTTCAGCTGCAATTCAGGAGCCAGAGCAAATGGGGCTCAGTTGTTACTCAGTTCCCAGGGTGTCACACATCTTGTAGTTGTGACTGTAGCCTCTGGATTTGTGGGACTTGGCAATCCCTCAGTGTCTGTGAGGCCAGGTGCAATGACAGCAAGAACCCAGAATGACAGGATGTAGCTGTGTTTGGTTCTTGGGAAGAAGGGTGCAGCACAGTTGCTGACTTCACCCCCTGGAGAAGGGGTGTCTCAGTGGTTCAGTCTCTAAGGGAAATGTCCATCAGGGAAACAGTACTTGAGTTATTTGGCCCTTACGGCAGGACATCTCAGCTCAGCCACTGCTGTTTCCCTGGGATCAAGTCAGTAAGTCAACTTGGCCCTGGGATACACAGCTGCTCAGCTTGGTCAAACAGCTTCCCAGCCAAGACATCAATTCTCCAGAGGGCGATGCACCCCCTTTAGCTCAGTCCCAGGGGGTAGGGCATAGCCACATCTGGGAAAGGTAAAGATTCTTTTAGAGGGAGTGTGCAGCTTTGCAGCTTCAGTTACAGCCTAAGGAAGAGGGGCACTGCTGCTATTGGGAGTGATGGGTGGAACAGTTCCCCCATTGCCTAGTCCCTCAGGGTAGGGTGTAACAGCAGCTCTCAGCTCTGCTTGGGGAAGTCAGTTCTAAGTGGCTTAGTTTCTGGGGTGAAAGGATGTTACTCATCCTCAGAGTAAGACATTCTCCAGCAGCAGTTCTGGTTCCAAAGTGGCTCAGTAGTTGAACGCAAGCCACAGATGGTGAGGCACAGTGTCACCTTCTCTGGGAAAGCACAACTGTGTGGACTCCAGGCAACTCCCTCAGGTGGGCTTAGTGCCTGTGAGGACTGCCAGGGTCCACAGTAGTGAGGAGGGTAGGTGTCCAAGGTGTGGATGAGGGCTGCTGGGGTCCTCTCACTTACCTTTTCCCCCACGGAAGAAGTTTCTCCTGTTTTCCTGGTGCTCCTGGGAAACAGGAGGAATGTCTTCCTGTGGGGATGAAGGTTGGGTATGGGATGATGGAGGCCAGATGTTTCCTTCTGTTCTCTTTGTGGCTATCCTGAGTTTCTGTGCTCTCTGGTGTTCTGTTACTCTTTTGATGTGCTCCGGTGTTCTTTTACTTATTTCCATCCAAGTATAGTTCTTTTGTCTGTCTTTGTGGGAGAGACATGGGCTGGAGTCTTCTAGTTGGCCATCTTGCTCCCATGCCCCTGGAATACCTTTTTGTGTGTGTGTGTCAGCTGGCCTATAAGGGGATGCAAACCCTTGACTTTGGTGTTATAACACTGCTCTAACCAACTGAGCTAACCAGCCAGTCCTAGAATAACTTTTTAAGCAGTTATTTTCAAGTATTTTTAGGCCCAAATCTTAAATGAAAGTATATAAGAAAATGAAATTTACTTAATCACTCTTCTGCTATTTTGAGTTGTATTTCATTTGCACATTAAGTAGACTAAGAGATTCTAAATGTAAATTTACTGGAGAAAAATTAATCTATTAGAGTGGATATACTTTGTTGTATATTCTAAGTGAATAATTTGGATTTTTCTTTTTTTAAGAAATGGTTAGGATATTTACTAATGTAGAATTATTAACTTGGGAATATATTGTATTGGCCTTTTTTATTATTTTTAGGCTGGATCAAACCCTGGACCTTGGTGTTATCAGCACCATGTTCTAACCAACTGAACTAACTGGCCAGTCCCTGGGAATGTATTTGTATAATTCATTCTTATTATTTGAGGTAGTTATGTTCTATGAAGTTGCCACAAACTGAATTATTAAATCTTGATCCCATTGCATCTAGGAGAAATACAGGGTTAGGTTCCTGTGAACCTCCGGTCACATTTTTGTCACTGATTAATACTTAACCTTGTCAACTGATTAATACTTAGCCTTGTTTAATGTGTTTTTCTGTTTAAAGGTACCTTATTTAATATATGTTGTTAATTCATTAATATTGAACACAGGCAATAGCAATAAACTCATGCATGAACGAAGCTTATCTAACATGCACATTTCCTCTTTAAGGCACATCACAACTATCCTTGGGGGTCACTTTAAAGAGTGAAATCACCAACAAAACATAAAAATACAAAAAATGTAGTACTAAATAGATTATGAAAAGGATGCTTGTTTATAGTATGATAGCTGCAGCAAGAAGGCAGAGCATCGCTATATTAGTCTGTTTCTGTTGCTTTTAACAGAATACCTGAAACTGGTATATTTATAAGGAAAGGAAATTTATTTCTTATAGTTTCAGCGACTTGGAAGTCCACAATCAAGGGGGCACATCTGGTGAGGGCCGTGTGGGTCAGGGCTCTACAGCAATGCAGGGTATCACATGGTGGGAATGGCTGAGCAAGACAGAGATAACCTGCTCACTCACTCTTCTTACAAAGCCATCAGAACCATACCATTCTCCATGAATTGATCATTCCATTCACAAGGGTACAGTCTTCACAATCTAATCACTTCCTAAAGGCCCCACCTTTCAATTATCATATTAGGATTTTCCACCTTCTTAACACTCACAGTGGGGATTATGTTTTCTAATCCATGAACTCTGGGGGACACATTCAACCCATAGCAGTTGCCTTGTTTGGTCTCAGCTGGGAACATGTGCAGTAAGGTGACTCAGATTTTTGCTGTTCTTTGCATGTGTTCAAATGACTGTGAAAATGCTGTATTGATTTTAGGGTTACAAATAAATTTAGTGGGTAGGCTAATTTGTAAATATGGAAATCAGAATAATGAGGATTGACTCTATCTTTAAATGATACTGTGAAAAATATTTTTTCACCACAGTGCTGGTTTAATTTGTATTGTTTAATACCTGTGAGTTAGGTTTTATTATGAATTTGGAAAGACTAATATATGATCACTTTTTTCCAAGAAAATTTTCTGTTTTATGACTTTTAGCCATTTTATTTTCTATTTTAATTTTTTTTTAATTTTTATTTTTGGGGGGCTGGCCGGTAAGAGATCTGAACCCTTGACCTTGGTATTAGCAGCACCATGCTCTAACCAAATGAGCTAACTGGCCAACCTTTTAGCCATTTTAAAACAGACAATTTTTTTACTAATCAAAGTGCCACTAGATTTATAAATATAAATCTGTGGTTTTGGAGCATTCCTTGCTCAGTGCTTTTAAATATTTGAAATCAAGATAACATGGGAAAATTTTGAAGTTTAGGAGTTATCCAGTGTTTAATGAACTTACATTTTACTTCTGTTTAATTATACCCTGCAGTCAGGTGCCACTCTTTGTGCAAATTCATCACAAATGGCGAAGAATGTATGTGGGAGAATGTCAAGGTCCTGGTGTCCGAACTGATTTTGAAATGGTTCATCTTCGAAAAGTACCAAATCAGTACACTCATTTATCAGGTTTGCTGGATATCTTCAAATCAAAGATTGTGAGTTGCCTTTGATATTTTTAATCTTATCTGGGATCCAGATAAAAGTTGTGATTTGGTAATTTTATCGAGTGTATAGAAGCATTTCTCTATTGATAATGTAAATTAATTGTTCAGAAGAAAGCTTTGACTACATAAATTACTCCTGTATGTTTAAAGAAACAAAATATCCAATTAGATTTTTAGTGTACTAATGCTAAAGAAACAACTGATTTTTTTGTTTGTTCGGTCTGTTAACATTTATTGACTGTGTTATCTCCGCTACTCCTTGTCCTCTAAAGTAATGTTGCCAATCTTACCAGCCTATCGGCCTTCAGGTAGCTGCTTGTTTGGGGCTTTGACTATGAGCTCTTTGAGGTCTGAACACTTTGGGTTCTGAATTACCTCCCCCCCCCCCCGTCTTCATTTGATTTGATATTTAGGGTTAATTTGACTTATATCTTGTGACTGAGAGAAATAGGGCTAAATAGGAGTGCTGAATACATCCTTTTGTTCTGTAAAAACACTATCTCAGAGATATGGAGGACTTGCCTATACTGCTCTGGGGAAAAAACATGATTTAAGTTGAGGAGCTGTTTGTGAATACTTCTAGAGAAGAGTGCAAAGCCAAACAAGCAAGTAGTGGAGGGGATCCTTCACTTAGAGAAATATTACCCTTAGGTTATAAGGATGCCGATTTAAGTTTGGGGTATTTTAAGTGCTAAAGGTGACACCATCTCACAAGTTTGCATGGACAAACTTGATTAATAAACTAATATCATGTATTTTCTGATGTGAGGCATTAAGTAGGATATATTATTCCTTGTGTGGCATTCCTGCCAAAATGTTTAACATGAATTAAAATGGGAGGAAACAATCACATACTTCCAAAATGAGCCATATTCTGCAAAGGAACTGACTCTTCAAGATGTCAGTATCATTATAGGCAAGATAAAGGCTGGGAGCTGTTTAGATTTAAGGAGACTAACAGGACATGACAACTAAATGTATTACATGATTCTCGATTGGATCCTTGATCAAAACAAAATAGCATTAAGGACACAATTCGGACAGTTGGGACAATTTTAATATAAACTGTGTATTGGAAAATAGTCTCAATGTTCAATTTCCTGAATGTGATAATTGTATTATGATTACATAGGATAATGTCCTTGTTCTTAGGAATTACATGCTAAAGTATTTAGGGGTGAATTGTCATGATGCTTACAACCTGTTTCAGCCAAAAATACTTCATATATAAAATGTGTGTGTGGCAAAGGGTTAATAATTGGTGAATTTGATAAAAGTCATATGGGTGTTTATTGTACTAGTTTTTCAACCTTTCTGAAGGTTTGAGAATTAATTAAAAAAGAAAAAAGTTAAAAATGCTGAATTTTCTTTCTTAATAGATGTCATTTGTTGGAAAGACATTTAGGATTAGAACTTAATCAGAAAAATATGTTTTCAGTGTTGAGGCCTAAATAGGATAGTGGTAGGATTATCATCACCACCCAGATAAATCCGTTTGACATTTTAAAAAAGTAATGCCTGTGCCAGGTTTAGCAAATTAAAGTAAAAGCTTCCTTTTACCTCTCATTCCCTCTCCTCAAAATAACTACTGTTAGCAGTTTCTTGTGATTATCTCCATTAAAAAATCATAGAAGTATATATTTTAGAGATTTCCATACATACGTAATTTTCTTTTGAAAAACTTTTTCGGCTCTGAAATGCCTTAAGTACTACTTAATGCTACATGCAGTATTTTGGGAAATTTTTGGAAAAGGCAAGTATGTGTTAATATCTATTCCATTAGTTTGTCTTCTGTTATCAGAAGTCTTTGAGTATATTTAAAATTTTTAGATTAAATTTCTGGTCAGATGCAAATATTAATACTTTATTCCTTCTTCTTATGAAAAAATTAACAGTATTTTCGAGTCTTTTTTGTCACTCTTCTGTGTAGCTCAACTTCTCTTTTTTGAAACTAGAACTACCCTGATGTGTAGAGCCTGACTTAGATTTTGGATATTTACCATTTTACTTTTTAAAAAAGTGTTTTTAACCAGTTTATCACACCAGCTGTCAAAACTAACAAAACTCATTTATTTTTCTTATGTGAAACATCTTTCAAAATTGATTTGAGAAGAATTGAACTTAACATAATTGAAATCTGATTTAGGTGCTTTAGAGGTTTTATATAGTTAAAACTACCCAATATGTGACTCTCCTCTACTGTCTTTATAAAACTATTGTTATAAAAATTACTTTTTAACATCTACTTCACATGATTCAGAGAACTCACCCTTCACTGGCAGTTTATTTCATTTTCACAGATATCTAATTATTAGAAAAGGCTTCCTTTTGGGGGACCCAGTTTTTTGTTTGTTTATTAATATTTTATTGATGACAAAAGAGCTTAAAACAAATTGACCGAAAATCAGAAGTTACATTGCCTTGGTGCAGATGCCCTTTGATTTGTGAAATGCAGAGTAACTGCAGCTAGGAAGGCAAAGGACAAAGCAGAGGCAAAACGTTCCAGCCCCACAGACAGCAGGCGGTGTGGGCAGCCCCACTGGATGGGTGGCTGCACAAGGGGTCGTGGCGGACACCTACCCACATCTGTGCCTCTATGCTGAGGTTCCCAGTTTTGCCATTTGGAGTCACAGAAAATTTAAGTGTAAATTCTCTTCTGCCACAAGTCTCTAAATATTTGAAAATTCACATCACAGTCGTCTTCTCTTTTTCAGTTTAAACTTTCCTAGTTTTTTCAGATGTACTTTATATTTCATGGTTTTATATTCTGATTGTTGATTTGCATATCTGACTTTTAAAACTATATTTTTTCATGTTTTGGAAAATTTTGTTTGTAGGCTCATTTTGAATGGTAGTTTTATTTTTAAATTTTGCCTTTTTCATCCATCCTAACGATTTTGTAATTTTGTGGTTGCTGCCTACTTGCGAAATATTTCAGAACTAGGTCTTCAAATGGTATTTGGAGCCTCTTGCTCTGTGATGATACTTTGGGGTTTTGCATATCTAGTTTTATTCGTCCTTTTTGTGTTGCTAGAATAGGATACCTGAGACGGGGTGATTTATAAAGAAAAACGAAATTTATTGCTTACAGTTTCTGAGGCTGGGAAGTCCAAAGTCTATCTGGTGGTGGCGACAGTGACCCAGGGGTCTCACATTGCAAGATGGTGGAGCAAAGAGAGAGAGAGAGAGAGAGAGACACTCCTCTTCTTTTAAAGTCCTCAGAACCATGCCCCTGCCACCATTTTTAATCCATTCCCTACTGCATGGTCCTACAATCCAGTCACCTCTTTAATGCTCCACCTTTCAATTATCATAATAGGATTTCCCACCCTCTTAACAGTCACAGCAGGGGCTAAGTTTCTTATACGTAAAACTTGGGAGACAATTCAAGCCTCAGTGAGTTTTGGGGGGATATAATTCAATCCACCACATTAGTCTTAGAATCTTGGATTGCTTGATCACCATATGGGAGTGAGTGGGGTTTTTTTCTCCTCACATAATAATTCTCCCCAAGCCCATACCAAGTAGGAGTGCCTTGCCCCAGCATTTGGCTTATGCAGAGAGTCTTACAATTCTCTCTCTCTGGACCGAGTCCTTTTAGTGCCATTTAATGCAGTCTGCAGTCCTATGCTGTCATTGCCTTCTTTCACACCTGGAGCTGAGCAGGCGTGTGCTTTGAGCCCCACTTGTCCCTTTGGGTTTTCTGTGCCTTTCTAGATTCCACAAGATATTTCTGTTGTTTTTCATCCTAGCTGTTTCTTTTTGGCTGTCTCCTTCTATAATTAATACATTGCTATGTGATTGGAGCAGAGATGATGTATCAAAGTGACCTTGTTATGGCTTCCAGACCATGTGCACCTTGTAATAAATAGATAAATACTCATTTGTTATCTGGACATGACTAAAAAGTTGATATATAGACCAGCTAAACTCTTACTTTTACTTGTCTAGGACACAGCAGCTCAAAATTGAACTAGTTTTTTTTTTTTGCTGGGGGGTCGGAGAAGGGGGCAGCTATCTTATATTGTGACTTCATATTGAGTTTATATTCAGTTAAAGCTACCAGTGACATTTATATGTGCTGCTGCTGAGCTAAATGTCACTTACTATTTTGCTACTCTGAGTGTGGTTTCCTGACCGGGAACATCAGCAACTCCTAGAAATGGATTAGATATGCAGATAGTATTGAATCTGCATTTTTACAAGTTCCCTAGTGATTCATATACACAATTAAGTCCTATTCCACTTTAGTGTACATTAAACATTATGAAGGGAAGCTGAGATCATAAGGTGTTTGGATGATAGTATTAATTTTTATGATTTTTAGTGAATTTAAATATAAATCTGAGTTTTCTTTTAACTGAATCATTAACATAATCTATTTTTCAGGAATAACCATTTGTTTGTCTTAGTCTAAAATTCTGGTTAAATATTCAAGACTGACTGTAAGTTTATTTTCATTTAAAGGAAAGAAGAGACATCATCTCTCCAAACCTAATCTTACATTTTATAGTAACTTTACTTTATTTAAAAAGTGAATCACGGGCCGGCCCCGTGGCACACTCGGGAGAGTGCGGCACTGGGAGCGCAGCGACGCTCCCGCCACGGGTTCGGATCCTGTATAGGGATGGCCGGTGCGCTCACTGGCTGAGCGCGGTGCGGGCGACACCAAGCTAAGGGTTGCGAGTCCCTTACTGGTCATGAAAAAAAAAAAAAAAAAAAAAAAAAAAAAGAAAAAGAAAAAAAGTGAATCACCTTTTTTTCACATTTATGTCTGAAGTAAATAGTAAAAAAAGTATTTTATAATTAAAATTGTAAAAGATATTTTCAAAAAACATTTTGCTTAATAGAATTTAATATCATTTTTCCAGGTAGTAATTTAAGCCTTTAAAGTAATTTGCTCTTTGGCATTGTTTTTTTTTTTTAAAGTTACACAACCTTCTCATCAAATGAAAATATTCGTGGAAGCAATATGCAGAAATTGTGGAAATCTCCTGTACATACAAATACATGGACAAATACATAGTGATTTTTGGGAGGGGAGTTTACTTTTCCATTTTTTAAAACCAGTTCTAACATTCGCCAGTACTGTTCTTTACTGTATGATCTTTCTTTTTGACCATCCTTGACTCACCTCTTGAGTTTGTGAGCTGTGAGAATTTCATCTATGAAAGTGATTTACTAAATTCTCCATCTTTGCTCCAATAACTTCAGTGACTTATTTTACTTTGTAATGGCATACTATTATCTAACACTATAATCTGAAAATCTAGGTTTCATAAAGGTAGTATTTTATCCATTCCATAAGTTTGAAATTTTGATGTTCAATTTAATACAAAAAGGGTAACAGTGCTTACATGGTATCGTATTTGCATCTCTTTCCTAGGGATGTCCTTTAACTCCACTGCCTCCAGTTAGTATCGCTATTCGATTTACCTATGTACTTCAGGATTGGCAGCAGTATTTTTGGCCTCAACAACCTCCAGGTGAGATCATTTAGAACTATATTTAACTTATTGAATATAAACGGAAAATAAAATATACACAAAAAATTGAAATTACTTAAGTGTTTCAAGTGATTTACATTAAAAATATTTGTAATTCATTATAAATGTAATATTGCTGATTTCATTGCCTTAATAATTTTTTTGTCTTAAGGAAAAGCTGTAGGTTTTCTAGAGACAGTATTACTTTATATTGGACAGTCTGTCTTTGAAAGCTGATATTATTTATAAGGCATCTCTTGCTATGGAACATCATAAACTATAAAATTACTACTTAGAGAATGATTAAAATGTCTGTTTTTAGAATATAATATGAGAAGCTACCCTCATAAGCCGAGAACAGACATGCAGAAAACTTTATAGAGAATAGAGTTTGAAGAAGAGGGTTGAAGCAGAGAAGAAAAATATGTTTATATACGTACACATATGGGGAAAATGATAGAATATGTTACTTTAACTTGCGTTTTATAAAAATGTAATCAAAATCAGTTTGCTTGCTTGGCCATTGATAAACTAATTCATTCAACAATCACTAATTAGTAGGCTTTAATAGACCAGGTTGTGCCAAAGACAGAAATATGAACAACACATTTACCTAAGATCTAGAAAATCTCAGCCTGATAGATATATATCCTATTTAAGTGAAGTTTTGATTTCTTGGTGTTACTTTCACATATGAGTGTAATTATATTCAACCATGTCTAATAAGAAATTTTTAATACAAACTGATAATTACATGGATTTTACTAGGTTGAAAACATTTTTGTCTACCTCCATTAAAGAAATATAAAGTAATATCTTTTATTGTTTATTTTTCTTCCAGGTAGTTGGTTATTTATAGGATTGAAAATGATAATTAGTATGCATGGGATATCAAAATTAAAATTAGATTCTTAGCCTTTGGCAGTTATATATACTACCACCATTTTATTTTATAAACTGCTGAATAATTTTAAACTCTAATTTTCAGTAAAAGAACCACATCCAAACTACAGCAAAGGAAAATAAAAGCTAAATTTTATAGATTTGTATTAGAAGAAAGACTCAGATGTTTGCACTGGTAATTTTAGTTCCCAGACAACAATAACTACTGGACAATTTGTAGTCCACTTATAGTTAGAAAATTTTTCTTTTTTCCAAGGCTACTCTATTATTAAGCAATTTTAAAGACTTTCCAAGGTGATGTGGTGTGCTGATGATCTAAGGAGGAGCCCAAAAGCCAGAATCTTAGCCTTATAATTCTGATTGCCAGTAAGGTCTTTATTAATGTTCTAATTGCCAAGTTTTTGTAATGGGTATAAAAATATTAACCTTCTCCCTTAGTAGATTGAAGGTCATATAAATTAACATTTTCTCTTATAAGGGGAAGGGGCTGAACATGTAATGTTATATTGGCCAGACACTTCTTGGCATTTTATATCCTATTTTGTGTAATTCTCATTTACCTATGAAATGGATATTATTATCTTTCTTACAGATGTAAGTTTCTCAAAGAATGTAAGTTACTGGCCCAAGGTCACATGGTCAACAAGTGATAAAATTCATATTCAAACTCTAGTCAAACACCAAAGCCCATGCTCCATTCATTCCATAATGTTGCTTCTTAACTTTTAATTCTGTTAAAATTTTTATACAGTTACAGTTTAGTATAATATTTAATTTAATTTACAAAAATGTGCTTATTGTAAATTTTAAAGCACTTCAAAAATTCACGTCTTGTAATAAAGCTAGTCATTGTGATCTTTATTATTGTAAGCATTCTTTAGATAGAAAAATGGAATGAATGGACTCAAATTTACAGAATCAAGTAATTGAGCCGTTTTTAATGACTAATTTTAATAATTTAGTTAGGGTGTAGATAATTGTCAGAAGTGGTTTTACAAAATCTGGGGTGCATTCATAATTTAATGGTAGATGTTAATTTTAGGAATTCCTAGTGTAGCGTGAATAATTAAAAACCACCATCTGTATTCTTTTCAAAAGAAATCCTTTTGATGTCTTTTAGAAGTGTTTATTACTTCCTTGGGGTGGGGGATGGAACTAAGAGGAGGGGTGATTTACCCTCTAAATTCTCCTCCAATCTCAGAGACCATTTATAATGGAAAGAAGATCCTTTCCTGAACTTTAAATGTTTTTATCTATCAACCATAATGTAATTTTATTAATAATGAGAAGTTTGCTAATTTGCTTTTAGAAATTGACGGGAAAACTGATGAATGTAGGTTGGTGATTAGATTTTTAATGTTTGGATAATATTTCTTTTAGATTATATTAATCACATTCTTAGAAAATAATTTACAGTAATATTGTTTTGAGTAATATTTAAGGAGTATTTCAGAAGGGTAAAATTTAGAATTGATGGCTTGAATGAAACACTGGATATATAAGAAATAAGTGTATCCTTTTACTGTAACATTGGGGAAGGGCAAAGTCTTTAATACTTGACTGTGTGTGCTCTAACTTGCTATATGTCCTCAGTTATAAACACTTTTAAAGCTATAATTCTCTAAAGGACTTAACCTAAGTAGATTAGATTCTTATTTCTCTATTTTTTCCAAATAATGGAAAATTATTTCTTTTGTTTAGACATAGATGCTCTTGTAGGAGGAGAAGTTGGAGGTCTGGAGTTTGGCAAGTTACCATTTGGTGCCTGTGAAGATCCTATTAGGTGAGAATTTCAACCTATTATTTGAATTATGGGGTTATTTTACTCTTTAAATTTATATTGATAATGACTTTACCATGTTTTCTGATACTGTAGCCTGCTGTAATCAATGTAGTACTGGAAATAGAGACCTGCACCTGCTTTCTTTATTTTATAATTTTACATGAAAACTTTCTAAAATTTACTATCCTTCTGTAATAAGAGTTTGGCAAACTGTGGCCTGTGGGCCATATCTGGCCGGTAGCCTTTTTTTTTGGCCAGTGAGTTCAGAATGGTTTTAAAATTTTTTTTTTAAGGGTTATAAAAGAAGACAAAGAAGAATATAACAGTGACTGTATGTTGACCCACAAAGCCTAAAATGTTTATTCTCTGGCCCTTTGTAGAAAAAGTTTACCAACTCCTGATCTATAATATGATTTTTCAAAATTGAGATATAATTCACCTACCATAAAATTCACTATTTTAAAGTGTACAATTCAGTGGTATTTAGTATTTACAAAGGCTTGCAACCATCATCACTATCTAATTTTGGAATATTTAAATTACCTCAAAAAGAAACTTTTCACCTATCATTTCCCTCTAATCTTCCCAGCCCCTCCAGCCCTAGGCAAATACTAATCCACTTTCTATTTCCATGGATTTGCCTGTTCTGGACATTTCATGTAAATGGAGTCAAATAATATGTGGCCTTTTGTGTCTGGCTTCTTTTACTTAGCATAATGTTTTCACAGTTCATTCATGTTGTCATATGAATCAATACTTCATTGCTTTTTATTGCTGTAAATATGCGTTGTATGGATAATACCACATTTTGTGTATCCATTCATCAGTTGATGAGTTATTTACACTTATTGGCTCTTACATATAACATGATTTTTTAATGTTTGCAAAACATTAACTTCATGTGGATGTGTTACCATTTGCTAATAAACCAGTTTCCAGTTTATTGAATTATAAATAACACCACTTTTCTTTTTTTTCTGTGTCCGGCAACGGATTGCAACCCTCAGTGTTGCCCCCGTACCGGACCAGGGACCGGCAACGGGATTGCAAACCTCGGCGTTGCTCCCGCACCTCGCTCAGCCAGTGAGCGGGAGCCGGTCTGTATGTGGGATCCGAACCCTCGGGCGGGAGCGCTGCCGCGCTTCCCAAGCGGCGCACTATCCAGTGCGCCACCGGGCCGGCCCTAAATAACACCACTTTTAACATACTTTTATTTCTCTAAGATACATTTCTAGAAGCATAATTGCTGAGTTAGGGTATATATGTACAGAATTAGAGCTTTTGGATATATTTTATGTTTTGTTTATTTTAGTGAACTCCATTTAGCAACTACATGGCCTCATCTGACTGAAGGGATTATCGTGGATAATGATGTTTATTCGTAAGTATGTTAAGTACAGTATATTGAGATTTAAAACTTCAGTAGAATTAATGAACTGCCAAATGGTTAGCAATTTTCCTTTTTGTTTACATCGGTTTCTGATAAAATTGGTTGCCTTTCAATTTTTAAAGGTCACTTTTTAGACCAATTAATATCCTGTCAACCAAAGTAAATTAACCACCTGGTTGAGATATAAAACAAAGAGGATTTATTTCAGAATTCCTTAGACTGCAGTATAGGAGACATAGATTCAAGAGACTTTGAAAATGTGCTCCAGAGAACAAAGAGCAGTCTGGGTATTTAAAGGAAAAGACCCAAAAAGGAGGGGGTGGTTCCAAAAGCTGTGATCGGTGCTAACATATGTCAAACAGCCTTGTCCGTAAGGGATTGGTTGAAACAGTTTTTTGAGGTAGGCTTTAGTCAAGCCCCTTCATTTGGCAGAAAGTAGCAAATAGCAGAATCATTAGCAGTTGTTCATCTGGGAATTTGTGGCCCTCTGTTGCCTCTGAATGCAAAGTTCCGTAATGTTCTCAGTTAAGACGTACCTCAATCTCAAGCTGAGATTGCCTCCTGGCTCCATTCTAGGTGCCCTGACCAAACTGACATCATTTTCCCTTGTCAGTCTATTAGAGGTGTGTTTTACCTTGCTGATTTTGGAGATATGGTCCTTATTTCAGGAGTAATGAACAATTTCGGTCTTTCCGTGTTTGAGCAAAGATGTTTCTAAGCAGTTTGGGGTGCAATGCATAATTCTGTTGAACTTTTCTTAGCTAGTAAGAAGCATTTCATGAAATGCTTTGAAGAGATGATGGTCAGAATGTATGGAAATAATATTTGATCACTAAATGTAAATAATAAAGCTTCCATGTCTTTTACTCCTGTATGGTGAAAATAACTTGACAATAGTAGGCTATCTAGGAAGAATGTGGAGAAAGGGAAAGGCAATTTTAGTATCTTTTCTTGCTTGATCCAGTGAGAAATAGGACACATTTTCTTTTCATAATTAAAGTAACTCTGTTGTAGTTGCTGATGGTGGAAGTAACATGAGTGCTCTTAATCAGATAATTTAGGTATAAAGAATTAAATAAAGACTACTATTATCCCATTACTTAAAAATGTAGCCAGTTAACATTTTTTTTTTCCTTTTTGTCTTTTTTCGTGACCGGCAACGGATCGCAACCCTCAGTGTCGCGCCCGTACCGGACCGGGACCGGCAACGGGATCGCAACCCTTGGTGTTGCACCCGCACCTCGCTCAGCCAGTGAGCGGCCGGTCTGTATGTGGGATCCGAACCCTCAGCGGGAGTGCCGCCACGCTCCCAAGCGGCGCACTGTAGCAGTGCGCCACCGGGCCGGCCCCACCAGTTAACATTTTGATGTATATCTTTTTAAAGTTTATTTATACTAATTTGCTTTGTTCATTTAATATATTATTTTACGTCTTTTATGCCAACTAGTGTAGGTCCTTGTTGTCATTTTTTATTGCTGCTTAGTATTCCATTAAGTGAATGCACTGTAGTCTATTTAATTGAGAACACAGGGCACTTTTGATCTTGTGCACATTTTTTGTAGTCTCTTTTCTTATTAATGGTGGTATAAAAAACAGGTTATTTAAGATGATTGTGCATACTTGCTTGTTTCTCATTCCTTTTTTTTTTTTTTTTTTTTTTTTTTTTTTTGCTCCTAAAAAGTTATTTTCTCATTGAGTTTTTAGGGTACATTGCCTGTTCACAGTCACTTTTATATGCATTTTTTGATTATTTTGTTTTGATTTTGGTGTTTGCTTTTGTGGGTTTTTTGTTTTTGTTTTTTGTCTAAGAACTTTGATTTCTTAAGATTTTATTTATTAACTACTTATTTAAGTGGCCTTGTGTATCTGGATAACAGGAAGTTTAAGGGAGGCAGAATGGATTGCTTGTCATTGTATATGTTTTCATTAGACTGCATTTTGATAAGTTCATAAATCTTAAGAGATTTTTATAATTAGGATCTTATGTTTATTGTTTTGCTTTTTAGTGATTTGGATCCTATTCAAGCTCCCCATTGGTCTGTTAGAGTTCGAAAAGCTGATAATCCTCAGTGTTTGCTAGGTAAGGTTTATTATGTTCCTTTCCCAAAATACCACCAATCTGCTTATCTTCCAAATCATGAACACTAAATACATTCTTGATACTTAATTTCAGCTATCAAAAAAAAAGTTTTTTTAAACATTTGTGAATTCCTCAATTAGCACCATGTAGAAAAAAATCTTTGCCAACAGCTGTGAATTTTTTTTTGAATAGTACTCGCAGGACTTCTGTCTTTCAGTTTTAGCTAGTCTGCGTCTTAGAGTTCTCCATTATTTTTTCATTATGTCAGTTTTAATTCTTTAAACTGAAATGATGTTTTAATGCTTTCATGTCACTCCCTTTCCTTCCTCCTGTGGCATAGTCTGCATCTTCTATTCTAGTTAACGGTGTCCTTTTTGCCATTTGTTGTCCCTCTGGACATGTGGTATATGATGGGGAGGAAGGGTGCTGATTTTGACAGTCTGCATTAGAGCCCTTCTGTAGGGTTATATTACATCTGCAAACCTATTTTCTTTTTTTCTTTCCTTTTTGTCTTTTTTCGTGACCGGTAACGGGATCGCAACCCTCAGTGTCGCGCCCGTACCGCGACCGGCAACGGGATTGCAACCCTCGGTGTTGCGCCCGCACCACGCTCAACCAGTGAGCAGACCAGTCTGTATATGGGATCCGAACCCTCGGCAGGAGCGCTGCCACACTCCCAAGCGCCACACTCTAGCGAGTGCGCCACCGGGCCGGCCCCATGCAAACCTATTTTCTGATATGGGAAAAAGGTGTAAATAATCTTATACACTTTACAGGGTTATTTGAAATATCAAGTGAAATTACATAAACGGAAGTACTTTGAAACCACTCTAGCGAGTGCGCCACCGGGCCGGCCCCATGCAAACCTATTTTCTGATATGGGAAAAAAGGTGTAAATAATCTTATACACTTTACAGGGTTATTTGAAGTATCAAGTGAAATTACATAAACGGAAGTACTTTGAAACATGTTAATTGCTATTTTGATAGTATTATTGTATCTCATGTCTGGAATTGTCTTTTCCTTTTTTATTCATATGTATGTCTTTCAGGAATTTTTCTGAACCCATCTCCTCAATGGCCCTTTTAATCTTTTTCCACCTTATATTTAATACATATGAAAATATTCTCTCAATTTATTGTGTTTATCCACGCCATCTTTGCTCCATATTACCTGCTATACATTCAACTGATAGAATTATTAGGTATCTATTGATGACAGTAATGATGCATTTCTCTAAAGCATTATTTTTTCAGTCTCTTTATTCATTCTATGCTATCCATCAAATGCTAATTAGCAATTGCCATTTGTGCTCACTATACAGTAGTGAAGACAAAAATGTATAAGGTAAAATTCCTACCATTGGCAAATTTGTATGGGCTTTAGGGAGACAAGAGACTTGGACAAACCTTGTTTCAAATCCTAGATTCACCCGTTTGGGCAAGTTTCCTAATCTCTTCAAGCCTGTGTCCTCGTCAATAAAATAGAGATAACAATATTATACATTTCATAGAGTTATTGGGAGGATCAAATAAGATTTGGTACATGTGTATGTGTATCACATTTAACACAGTCCCTGTCTTATATTAAATGCACAATAAATGGTTTTTGTTGTTTAATCATTGAATTATTACATTGTTAAATTTACTTACTAGATTGTTTCCTAATATCTTCTTATTCCTCATCCACTGACTTCTGTGATAATTGTGGGAGGACCTTAGAATTGAAAGTGTTCTCATTTTGAGTTACCGTTCCATGATCTCACCCTAGCTCTTTGACTAGTTTTATGACTAGTTTATAAAATTGTTCTACCTTTCTGAAGAAACCCAGAAAATGTTCTAGGTTTATTCAGAACTAGTTGGTGAATTCTAAAACTTAGATGTACTTGTTATTTTATACTTTAGTACTTATGGTTCTTGTTAAGGTTTAATTTCTTTGTGTAAACATACCTCATTGCAGTTCTTTAGAAGATATCAAACCCCATTCCCCTTTATTATAATAATAATAACATTAATATTCAGCAGAAGCTGATACACCTTTATCCTACATAATTTCTTAATCCATTAGAAACGTATTTTTAGAGTTTCTTTTAAATTTTTATTTTTTTTTTTAACAAACTCAGAATTCTAGTAGGGTGGCAGTTGGGGTAGGAAGACTACTATATACATACATTAATGTTCTCGTTACTTATACAACTTAATGATAATAGATACTGTTTGTCTCATTGAGGCACATGTAAATGCTTAATATTTTTAGGTATAATAATTTTTCCTTTAATTCTAGAAGGAATTCTGAGGAAAAACATTTTTAATATCCTGTGACATGAAAAGAAAGGAAGTTAGGAAGAACAAGGTTACTGTTGAAATAAGATTAATTTTTGTCTTCTTTAGCGGAAAAACAGAATGGTTCTTTTTCTACCATATCTTAATAGCTTTTGTGAAAAGACATGTACTTTATTTATAGAACTGATTTCTTTCAGTTAAGTGTCAAAAATGAGTAATGTTTTTTCTATGTAGGTGATTTTGTCACTGAATTTTTTAAAATTTGCCGTCGAAAGGAGTCTACTGATGAGATTCTTGGACGATCCACATTTGAGGAAGAAGGAAGAGGTGACCTACTTTGTTTTAAATGTTACTTTCACATGTCTTACCCTTTTTTTTTCTTTGACACATTTTCCAGCAACTTTTCATCTTTTTTCTTATATTGCATTAAGTTGGAGAAACAAGTTTTGTTGGACTAGCCAGCTGCCATTTCTTTCCAGGCTGTACCCAGAGCTTAAGACATTAAGTGCATTTAATAAGTTCTTTCCACCAAAAATGTAAGATATTTTGAGAAACAGAGTTTTAGAACTTTATTTTTGAAGTTCCCTGGGGAGAATAATTTGTGACACCTTTGTCATTCATGTTTACATATAAAGCTGAGCATGTATGTTTAAATTTTATAATTCTGAGATCACATAACACTAGAGAAAAGAATGATTAAAATATTCTATACAAACATCAATTTACTTATCACTTTAACCTGCTAAGGTTGGTGATATAATTTGTATTTATTCTATTCTTTTTATAGAAATTGCTGATATAACTCATGCTTTGTCAAAGTTGACAGAGCCAGCACCGGTTCCAATTCATAAATTATCAGTTTCCAACATGGTACACAGTGCAAAGAAGAAAATACGAAAACACAGAGGTATAGAAGAGTCACCACTGAACAGTGATGTCCTCAATACTATTCTCTTGGTAACTAAATGTCCTGTCTTTATATGTCTGTATGCATAATTGCTGTTATATATTCAGTCCCTTCTATGTGGCAGGCACTGAATTGAGTGTATAAAATGAGTAAAATAAAGTCTCCATATTCAGAGAATTCCCACTAATGTATTAGAAGAAGAAAAGTACGCGATAGTTAAACAATGCCATATTGCATGTGAGAAGTCTGATGGGGGCGTTGTTAGCAGAGGGTGCATCTGTCTCTGTCTGGGCAATGGGAATCAGGGAAGTCTTCATATGTAGGGACAACTGAGCTGAATCTTGCAGAAAAGAAGGCTTTAGAAGCAGAGGAATAGCAGAGGCCTGAGAGCATGTTAAACAACTCATATTTTGCAGGTTGCTTCCCAGAGAGTGACCAGGGTTAAGACTAGAGAGGTAGCAGGGAACCTGCCATGTTGAAATTCTGGATTTCCTCTTGCAGTTTAATACTATTTAATGCAGAAGATCAGCATGATCAGAATTGTGTTTTTGAAAAGTTCCTTTGATAGCAGTCTAGAGAAAGCTTTATAGTAAGGATTAGAGGGGGATAGAGTGTGAGGGTGATTCTTAGGTACAGCGTAGTATAATGAGCCCAGCCTGGAGCCACACACACCAGGGGTTAATCCTGACTAGTACTACATGACTTTGAACAAATCACTTCAGTTTCCTCATCTATAAAATCAGACTAGCAAAATCTTGTGAAATTGTTGTGAGGATTAAAGGACCTTCTGTGGCACTGCCTGGCATATAATAGGCCTTTGATAAATGATAGCTATTGATCTTGTAATTGCAGTTATACCCATACAGTAAGATAATCTTGGGAAAAACCTTCAAGAGTAATGTAATGAAAACAATACTGGACTTGGAAACTTGATGTTAATCTTATGCCTGCCATTTATCTAACAAGACTCTTAGCCACATATTCAGCTTGTACATTGTAAGATATGAGCAGTGATTTTTAGCTTACGCAGTAGTTTGAGAATAGGGTAATGTTTGTACATGTGCGTAGTACTGGTACTCGGCACAGAGGAGTTCCTCTAAATGTTAAAAATCTGTTGAGCATGTTCTGTAATATGTGTCAAACTATACATAGTGAGAGTAATTACAAGTCGTCAATACCACAGAACACTTTGAAGAACAATAAAAGGACTGAAAATAAATTTCTGTAGAGAAGGCTCCTTAAGAGTCTATCCTTAGAAATATTATTTACACTGTATAGCTTAATTGTCATATACTGTACACTGTATTTTTTTGAACACACACACACTCGTGCACACGCGGAAACCAAGTGGAAAAAACACATTGGTCATTACAGTTTTATACCACTTCCCACTTTCTAGGGGTATCTAATAAAATAAAGTTGTGGGTCTTGAATATCATACCTTTGTATTTCATATACGAAAATCTCTGAATGACATAACACTTCAGATCTATATGGATTTTTATAGTTTTATCTTTTTAATAGCATCAATACTTAATAAAAATTTTAATGGCCTTGAATGATCATGAAATCACAGTGAAGAGATTTTTGTTTTTGCACTGTTCATCTCATAGAGTCAGGTGGTTAATTTTAAGAACAATTTCCAATTTCTAAAATTAGCTCGACACTGAAACCCTGTTTATTTTTCAAGAAAAACAGAAAAAATTAGAATGTAGAACCAACTGGTGAGTACTATAAGAACATTCCCATTGTTTTAACAGCAAACCATTAAAAAGTCAAGTAGTGTCTATATAAGTTATAAAAATCAACAAAATAGGAAGTGTGGTCTAAAACATGATTATGTTCTCTCTCCTCTCAAGTTCCTATTCCCTGACGCTGCTTCTGAGAAACCATTAGATGGAACTACTTCAACAGACAGTAATAATCCTCCATCAGAGATTGAAGACTATGTAAGTTGATTTGGAATTCGACATGAAAATGTTTTAAATCTGGTTTAGTAGCCTAAGTATCTTTTTATATTAAATATCCCCTTTGGAAAATCAAATGGAGATCTTGGCATCCAGTCAAATAATGACCCGTTACAAAATATTGGCGTGGATACATATTTTGGGTAGCAAGAATTTGTCTGGAAACAAGGAAAAAAGCACAATATACTGTGCATAACTTAAATTTCCCTCATTTTAGAATTTTTGTGAAATTGATGTTTTGCATCAGATTCTTCTCTATATTTCAAAATTAGGCAGTGAATGGAAAACTCTTAAATGAAATAAAATGTATGAAATGAAGTAAAATTTTCATGTTTTTCTTATCCAAGTCTTTGAGAAATGAAAGAGTTTAAGTGACAGGTATAGAGATATATCAAACAGTTTATAGTAGTTACTGTTGAGAAGTAAATTTCATGAAGTGAGGGGGAAAATGTAGGCAAGAGTACTTCAAAAAGTTCATGGGAAGATTTACATTACCTTTTAATTCTGTTTTTCCACGAACTTGTTTCAAGTATCCTTGTACCTTTTCAATTTATACAGTTCTGATTTTATGTTTTTTGTTTGGACAACAAGTGTGTATTCATTTTGTAATTAAAATATGTTTAAAACGACACACAAAATTTAGAATACATCTTTAAGATTCTGCAGAAGAAAGTGAAAACTATAACTTTAGCCTCACTCCAAAAAAAAGTGAAAAATCTTGACTTTAGGCAGTGGTATATTAGACATTTGATGAAAGCTAGTTTTGTTAAGATAGGTTAATTTTAGTATTAAAATCTCCCCCTACACACTTTGTGATTATATACATAAAATGTGTTGTTAACAAGTTTTGCTTTGTTTCTTTTTTGTTAAATTTAGACTCTCTACAATCAGTTCAAATCTGCTCCGTCTGACAGTTTAACATACAAATTGGCTTTGTGTCTTTGTATGATTAATTTCTACCATGGAGGGTTAAAAGGAGTGGCACACCTCTGGCAGGAATTTGTTCTTGAAATGCGTTTCAGATGGGAAAACAACTTTCTGATTCCAGGGTAATAACTTCAATTTCCAGTTGTTTAGACAGAATTTTTGTTTGTTAGCATGTATTTGACTTTTGACCCATTAATTCTCCCTTTTTATGAAGTCTGCCCTAAGAAAGTGGTAAGAAACTTGGATGATTTATGTTCATAGGTGTTCACTGCAACAAATTTTATTTTTATTTTTAAAAGTGGTAAGAAACTTGGATGATTTATGTTCATAGGTGTTCACTGCAACAAATTTTATTTTATTTTTATTTTTATTTTTGTCTTTTTTCATGTCCGGCAACGGACCGCAACCCTCAGTGTCGCGCCCGTACCGGACCGGGACCGGCAACGGGATCGCAACCCTCGGCGTTGCTCCCACGCCTTGCTCAGCCAGTGAGCGGGAACCGGTCTGTATGTGGGATCCGAACCCTCAGCGGGAGCGCCGCCGCACTTCCCAAGCAGCTCACTGTAGCAGTGCGCCACCGGGCCGGCCCTGCAACAAATTTTAAATAGGAATACAAAGACGAAACAACCTAAATGTCAAATATAGAAGATTATTTAAATAGATTATGCTGTATCTCTACAGGGGAAAATTATGGATCCATTACACATTTTTCCCAAATTCTTTAATAACAGAAAATGTTTATAATGTTTGTAATAAAGTAGAATATAGTATTGTGTATATAGAGTACCTTCAATTATACTGATATATATGTATAGAAAAGACTGGAAAGAAGTACAGCCAAATTTTAATGGTAGTTTTCCCAGTGTGAAATTATGTTTATTTTGTTCCTTCTACTTTTATATACTTTCTGAGTTTTCTGAAATGAACATGTATTTGTTTTTTCTTTTCTCTTTTTTTTTGGGGGGGGGTGGCTGGCTGATATAGTAAACATATATTTTGTAATTGGAGGGAAAACATTTAGTTTATCGTAAGTTCAGATACTAAACATTACCTATAACTTTTTGGTATAATTTATATCTATAATTAGCTTAATCAAATAGAAGATCTTAGCATATATTTCAGTATTGTGTCGTTTACTCATGCTAAGGTAGGAGAATCATGATTATGAATAATATAATATGGTAATTGATCCAAAAGCATTTACTGTTATGTCATTTGCCAGTCTCTTCTTAGCTGGATTCTCTCTTGGTTCTAACCAGTTTGCTCTGGAACTTATTACAGATCTGGAAACATACTGAATATGATGGGGGACCTCTGGCTGATTGCCAGGAACCTAGTGGTTTAGAACTAGAGGCAGTCCAGAGTCCCACTGGCAAAATAGAGGTGGAGATCTTGATTTTTACAGTGAGAATCCAGTATAATAACTGAAATTGAATGCGTAGACTAATTTACTCTGTACGTTGTGAAATACCGTATGCCAGCTACTTCTTGGGGTAGATTTACAGGCTTTTTCTCATTTTAAGTTTCTAGTGATTAGCCTATTATTTCTTCCTTTCTCTAATTTGCTATTATGCTTCAAAGTATCTATTATATTTGCTGTTTGCGAGTTGTGGACTAGAATGATAAAATAAATTTTGATCTCTTAATCATATGGCTTCCCCTCTGGAACTTAGTTACTTTACCTACAGAAATCTAGTTTTGATTTCTTATAAATATAGCTTGAAACTATGGTAATATAAAAAATAATCATATCTGAAGCAATTTTGCTAAAACTAAGCTCTTTTCTCATTACTTTATTTGATAGATTAGCAAGTGGACCCCCAGATCTAAGATGTTGTTTATTGCATCAGAAACTACAGGTAAAAATTTCCCACTGACAGTATACTTGGTCTTGATTTAATCAGAGCTTATTCTAATGCTAAATATAATAATGGGTTATAGGCTGTTCCCATCATGCTGCTGTAAGTTGTTTATAGTCACTGCAGTTTACAACAAGGTCCTGAGAAGGAGTAGAGAATGAAAATTAAATATAAAAGCTGCAGATAGATTTTAAGTTTTCTTTAATTCAACTATAAATGTTATTTCTGTTTTCTTAAGATGTTAAATTGTTGTGTTGAAAGAAAGAAGGCACGTGATGAGGGGAAAAAGACAAGTACTTCAGATAATGTAATTAATACATATCCAGGGGATGCTGGAAAAGCTGGAAACCATTTGGGGCCAGATAATCTAAAAGACACAGATAAGGAAAAGGGAGAGGTGGGAAAATCTTGGGATTCCTGGAGTGACAGCGAAGAGGAATTTTTTGAATGCCTAAGTGACACTGAAGAACTTAAAGGAAATGGACAGGAGAGTGGCAAGAAAGGAGGACCTAAAGAGATGGCAAATTTAAAGCCAGAAGGACGTCTCCTTCAGCATGGGAAACTTACACTGCTACACAATGGAGAACCTCTCTACATTCCAGTAACTCAGGTAGGATGCACTGGCGCTCTCAATTTTAATTTCTTTATATTGTTCTTTATATAACTTCATCCTATAGGAAGAGATAATTGTTTTGGTTAGGGGAAATTCTTTAAAAAGTCTGTGTTTAAATATTTAAGATGTGAAAGAGAGGTGGAGATCTTGATTTTTACAGTGAGAATCCAGTATAATAACTGAAATTGAATGCATAGACTAATTTACTTTGTATGTTGTGAAATACTGTATGTCAGCTTCTTCCTGGGATAGATAATGCAGTTATTAAATTCATAATTTTGAAGAGTATTTAAGACAAAGTTTCAAGATATAATATGAAATGAAAAAGCAGGATGAAAAACTGCACTAAAAATAACTAAGAATGTTTAAACTCCAGATATACCTCTGGAAAAAATTTCTATTTATAAAAAAATTTTTTTGCTAGAAGGGAAATTTATTTAATATAAATGTGTATATTAATAAAAAAGAAAGATCCCAGATCATCAATCACCTTTGCACCTTAGGAAACTAGAAAATAAAGGGCAAACTAAGCCCATACCTAGCAAAGAGAGTAAATAATAAAAATTAGAGCATAGATAAAAGAAATAAAAAATAGAGAAAAATCAATGAAACCAAAAATTGGTACCTTGATGAGATTCACAAAATTGACAAATTACCTAGATGGACTAAGAAAAAAGAGAGAAGACTCAACTAAAATCAGAAGTGAAAGAGAGGTCATTACAACCAAATTTACAGAAATCAAAATACTGTGAATAATTGTTGGCCAACAAATTAGATCATCTATATGAAATGAACAAATTGCTAGAAACACACCACCTACCGATACTTAATTGTGAAAAAAACCAGAAAGTTTGAACAGAACTATAGCTGGTAAGATGAATGATTATTGTTTTTCAGTTGCCTGATGCAGGCTCCCTTGAGGATTTCTTGCAGGGCTGGTTGTGTGGTGGTGAACTCCCACAGTTTTTGTTTGTTTGAAAAATACACTATTTTTCCTGTGTTTCTTAATAATAGTCTTGCTGGGGACAGTATTCTTGGCTGGCAGTTTTTTTCTATTAGAATTTTGAATATATCATCCCATTTTCTTCTGGCCTGTAGAGTTTCTGTTGAGAAGTCTTGTTAGTCTGATAGGGGCTCCCTTGTAGGTGACTTGATGCTTTTCTCTTGCTTCTTTTAAGATTCTCTCTTTGTCTTTGAGCTTTGCCAGTTTGACTATAATGTGTCTTGGATATTTTTGGGGTTGAATCTGTTTGGGGATCTTTGAGCCTCCTGGATCTGCAGGTCTGTGTCTCTCCCTATACCTGGGAAGTTTTTGGTTATTATTTTGCTGAATGGGTTTTCCATGCCTTTCCCTTTCTCTTCCCCTTCTGGAACACCCATGATTTTAATGTTTGTGCACTTAAGGTTGTCTGCTAGCTCTCTTAGATTTTCTTCATTTTTAAAAATTCTTAACTTTTTTTTAAACTTTTTTTTTGTCTGCATGGGTTATTTCAAGAAGACTATCTTCAAGATCAGAAATTCTTTCTTTTGCTTGGTCTAGCCTGCTGCTTAAGCTCTCAGTCATGTTTTTTTATTTCATTGAGTGAATCTTTCAGTTCCATGAGTTCTGCTACATTCTTTTTTAAGCTATTAATCCTTTGTAAATTTCTTCCTTAACTTGGATTTTTGTTCTCATTTTATTATGTTTTCTGAGTCTTCAAGTATCTCAGTGAGTTTCCTTAAGACTGTTGGCTGAGAATTCCTTTTCAGTCATTTTAAGGGTTTCCTGTTCTATAGGGTCTGGTATTTGAGAATTATTGCATTCCTTTGGTGGTTTCATATTTTTAGTATCTCTTCATTGATGTCTGGTCATCTGGCAGAGCAGTTGCTTCTTCTCTTACTCTGGAGAGGGATTTGAGGAGAGAGATGTCCTCTTCTTCTTCTGGTCTTTGCTGGTGACACTCCTTGTGTTAGTGCAGTTGGCTGGTGGGCTTGCCTACACAGTGGCTTTGGCTACTGCTGTGGCGTCAGGCCACTTTTGTGGGAACCATGGCTGTGGTGGGCAACCATGTGGAAGTGGTGTTTTTGTCATGTTCCTCGCCTGCCTCTGGGAGGGGGATGTTGCCCTTGGCTCTTGCCTAGGCCCCCTGGGCATGCTCTGCCGCTTGCTTGCTTCTGTCTGGGCGAGGGCACTGCTGCCTTCAGCTCCTGCCTAGGCTCCCCTGGGTGTGCTGTCTTAATTTTAATACAGTCTGATCTACCAGTGTTTTTATGTGAATAGTACTTTTTGTTTTCCATTTGAGAAATCTTTACCTACTTCAAAGTCCTGAAGATATTCTCTTATGTTTTCTTCTGGAAGCTTTATTATTTCAAGTATCACATTTTATGTTTGTGATCCACCTCAAATAAATTCTGTATTTGATATGAGGAAAAGGCTAAGATTCTCTTTTTTTTCTATATGGAGATCCAATTTTTCCTACACTATTATTGAAAAGATCTGCCTTTTCCCATTGTTTGCCAGCAATGTTATTGTTGTAAATCAAATGACTGTATGTGTGTTGGTCTGTTTCTGGAAGAGTTATTCTGTTACTTTAGTCTCTGTCTGTTCTTGTGCCAATAATATACTGTTATTATTACTGTAAGTTTATAAGTCTTTCTATCTGGTAGTGTAAATCTGCTAACTCTGTTCTTCAAGATTCTGTTGGCTGTTATATTTCCTTGACATTTTTATATCAATTTCAGAATCAGCTTGTCAATTTTCATACACAAACACATGTAATATTCTCTTGACTGTTCTAGGTCCTTTGCATTTTTATGTCACTTTTGAGAACTAGCTTGTCAGTTTTCATACACAAACACATATTAAAAATCCTGCTGGAGTTTTAATTCATATTTCATTGAATTTATAGATCATTTTATAGAGAATTGATATCTTAACAAATATTGAGTCTATGAAGTATCTTCTATTTTGTTTAAAGTTTCTTTGGATTTGTCTCACCAGTGTGTTAGTTTTTAATGTAGAGAGGTCTTGCATATCTTTTATTAGATGTATTTCAAAGTATTTTTAATTTCTTAAATGTTATTATAAATGGTACTTTAAAATTTCAATTTTTTCTTGATTTATAGAAATAGATGAGTTTTGCATGTTAACTTGGATCTAACAATTTTATTACATTCACTTATTTCTAGTAGTTTGTAGATTACTTTGGGTTTTCCATCTACATAATCATGTCATCTGTTAACAAAGACTTGAAATTCTGATTTTTCAATATTTATACTTTTAAGTTATTTTTCTTATTGCATTGGCTAGGACCTCCAGTACAATATTGTATACTGGGCGTCCTTCTCTTGTTCTATATGATAATCATTGAGGGCATCTGATGTGGATATCATTTATTAGATTAAGGAACTTTTCTTCTGGTCCTAGTTTGCTGAGAATTTTTTTTAATCATGAACAGTTATTGCATTTAATCAAATGCTTTTCCTGTATATTGAGGTAATCATATTTTATTCTTCTTTATTTTGTTAATGTTGTTAATCACATCGATTTATTTTTGAGTTCTAAAACTTCTTATGTTGTGGAATAAATCCCACTTGGGCATTCCCCTTTTTTATATAGCTGGATTTGATTTTTTTTTTTTTTTAAGAATTTTCATATCCTTATATTGATGGTATAATAAGTCTTTCTTTTTTATAACGTCCTTGTCAGAGAAATGTCTCTTTTTCTATTCTCTGAACAAATTTGTATAAGATATGTTTTATTGCTTCTTGAAAATAATTCACCAATGTTTGTAGGGGTATTTTCAGTTATAGGCTTAATTTTAAATTTTAATTTAAAATTAAATTTCTTTAATAGGTATAGCACTATTCTGGTTTTCAATTTGTCAGTTTTGGCAAATTGTGTTTTTCAAGGAATTTTTTGTTTTTCTAAATTTCATATTTACTGACAAAAATTATTTCATGGTATTCTCTTATAATCTTTTTAATGGCTTTAGATTCTATAATGATATTGTAATTATTTATTTATTTATTTATTTATTTATTTATTTATTTATTTATTTATTTATTTATTTATTTATTTTTGTCCTTTTCTTTTTTTTGAGCCCGGCCACACCACGCTCAGCCAGTGAGCGCACCGGCCATCCCTATATAGGATCCGAACCCGCGGCAGGAGCCCTGTTGTGCTCCCAGCGCCACACTCTCCTGAGTGTGCCACAGGCTCGGCCCGATATTGTAATTTTTTAAATTGGCATTTTTATATTATCTCTTTTGTTCATGATTAGTCATAAGGTTTTATTAATTTTATGAATCTTTCCCCCCCAAAAATGACTTTTGGTTTGTTGATTTTTCTCTATTGATTTTGTTTTCTATTTCACAGATTTCTTTCTTTTATTATTTCTTTTTTTCTATGTGAAATTAATTTGCTGTTTTCCTAGCTTCTTGCATTAGAAACTTAAATAATTAATATTTGACTCTTCTTTTCTAATATTTACGTTTTAAGCCATCTCCTTCATTTAGAACTCAAACGTTGTAACTTCTGAATATGTCCTCTTAACTATTGTCTCTCCAATATTTTTTCATACATTTTGACACTTCATCCTCTTGCACAGCATTATAGGAAAATATTTTGAATTACTAACTTACCTTCTGTATTTCATTTGTCTTCTTTAGTTTTGTTTTGGGGTTTATGTAATCACATTTGCATTTCCAAGTTCTTAAAATTGTTCTTTTTCATAAAGAAAATAGTTCTTATGTTGTAAATGCAGTATTCTCTCTCGTCTCTGAACTTTCAAATTTTCCCTTAGAATCTTGGTTTGCCATTGCACACAAGTTGATTATACTGACAAATTGCTATTGATAATCAAGTTATTATTCTGAACTCGCTTTTAGAAAAAGTGCTATTGTAGAACAACAATGGAAGTTTATTTTCCATTTACTAAGTCAGTACTAACACAGAGCTTTACTTAATTTTTAAATATTTATTTTAAATCTACCAAACCTGTAAGGAGTCATCATCTAGTATAATGGTTAGGAACACCACCTGTGGAGTTAGATTGCCTGAGTCCAAATTCCATTTCTGCCACTTACCAGTTTTGTGGCTTAGGGTAGATGTTTAATCTTTCTTTGTCTTCGTTTTTTTCAACTGCAGTATGAGTTCATAGTAAATACTCACATCATTAGGTAATTGTGAGTTTGAAATGAAATAGTACATGATAAGTGAATAACATAGTGTGTAGTCCAAAATAAGCACTTAGTTTTTAGCTATTATTCTTCTGAAGACTTTTTCTTATGTAAGTGGCCAGTATTGCCTCTCAGGATATAAGGATTACTTAAAAGTTTTTGTAATGAGTCTTCATATTCTGAAATGGGTTGATAAATAGTAATATTTGTATAGTGGGGTGTGTGTTTTCCACACTTTATCTCTGAACCTCAGTTTCATCACTTATAAAATGACCTGAGTCACTGTCAGTGATCACATAAGATTGTATATATGAGGGAGCTTTGGGCATATTCAGAAGTAGGCTGTATGAAAATGTATGGTCCTCATACTGCTTGTTGCTTAATCTCTTCTTTGTCATGTTCTTCTCCACTTACAAGTGGCTGAGATTTCCAGGTGAGAGCGGTAGTCAGTGTCCTCACATGCTCAATAAACACTAGTAATTAAAGAAAAAATACTAAGATTATAAGCTTCATACTTTACTTTCTCTTTGACTAAAGGAAAGTACATTTATCAAAATATCTTAATCAAGGTCTCAGAGCTGGGATTCAAACACAGGCATATTGTCTGTGGAGCACAAGCACTTAACCACTATGACATATTGCTTTACTGATTATTATTCAACTCCAGTGTGAAACTCTTGCTTGGTACTTGCCAGGTAATTAAAAGTGAGGCATGTTCATGAGAGAAAAGAAAACAGGAGGTCATAATTTCAAAACCAGATATAGGACTGTTAGAGCAGTTCCCTCCCATTTTTCTATCTTGAGCCATTTCTAATACTTATAATAAAAACCTTGTTGTAACTGGTGATGGCATATGTAATAATATTAGGACTTCATTTCTTTATCATTAATAGGCAGGAAAATGTTGTTCAGTGCACTGAAATTCCCCTTTTAACTATCAGTCCTTATCAAGGAAAGATGATAATCTTATCTGTGTGGGAAAGAAGGCCTGAAAATCATATTTATTCTTTTTGGTTTGTTACTTTTTTTATATGTAGGTTCTAAAAAACTTGTGCATTTCTCTGAATTTTAAAAAATACATATCTTGTGACTGCTGGAGCTAAAATAATTGTATTCTTTATTCTATTTTTATAGTTCTGCTTTGTCTAAAAAGAGCTGTTCATGAGCGTTGTCTTTTTGTGCTTCACAGGAACCAGCACCTATGACAGAAGATCTGCTAGAAGAGCAGTCTGAGGTTTTAGCTAAATTAGGTACATCGGCAGAAGGGGCTCACCTTCGAGCACGCATGCAGAGTGCCTGCCTGCTCTCAGATATGGAGTCTTTTAAGGTGGGTCATACTTTCAGAGCTCTGGGGTCTATTTTGAGCTATTCTGGCTTGAAACTGTGAATGCCACTCTATAAAATGGTATGAAGGCCTGAATGTCTTTTTTTTGTCAAATGTTTGGATTTCATAAGTAGTTACAACTCCCTACCTCCATCCCGCAAAGGACATAGTCAAATTTGTTTCCTAATTTAAAAAAAGGAAGAGAACCAATCTGTTATTAATAGTTGTAAGTTGAGAATTGAAACATTTCTATCTGTATATTAGGGTGCTTTCTTACTTTTGTGCACACAGTTTAATTCAGCCAATTTAATGCAAGACTTTTAGGAAGCCCTTAGGATTCAAAGCAGGTCACTTCACTCAGCAAGCCTTTGAATGCCTGCTGTTACCTTGTGCTGTGATTAGCTGAGTAATGAATACACTGTTTACCCTCAGTTATAGTCTCTGAAGGTTGTGGGAGGAGATTTGTAAATAATTATTATGTGATGAGTTCTCTTATGAAGGCAAGGTCAAAAAGGTGACTGACTGTACTGAGTGGGTCATGGAAAGTTTCTCAGAAGAGTGACCATTTAGGATGAGTAGACATTTGCTACCTGGAGAAGAATATTTTAGGCTTAGAGATAGACCTCTATCTAGAACATATAGGATTCAGGGAATGGTGACATATTTGGCTTATTAGCTTAAAAACCCAGGAATGAAAAAAGGACTTTTATTTTTGAATTATTTATTCTTGAAAGCAAAGGCAAGTCCATGTACATTAAAAAAAAAACAAAAAAAAAAACAAGTGGGTAGCCCAGTGAGTCACAGGGCGTCCTTTCCTACTGCTGATACTCAGAACTGTCTCCTAACCGACTGCTGCCAGGGATAGCCTCCATCTTTCCAATCCATAGGCCCTACCCAGTCCTACTTCTGTGCTAGGTAGACCAGCCTGAGTTTGCTTTTTCTCTGAAATATTTATGTATTCTTTTTAAACTTAAATACCCACAAACACCTATGCCAATTTTATTCTCCCTGCTAGTAGATTTAAAAGGGAAACCTTTTATTCCCTGCTTATTTTCCCCATCTTTACCATAAGGGAAAATCTTCAGTAAACCTCTTAAGAGCTATATGTTTTCCTTGGAGATTAAAAAGATACAGAAAGTCTGTGAGTTCTGTTCTGCCATGAGATAAAAAAGAGAGATGTGTTGCTCTAAAACAGATAGTATGGTGGGTAAAGAGAAACCAGTTGGCTCTCAGGGTACCTGTAAAACCAAAAAGTTAGAGAAGGGAATTGGCTTAGAGTGTATGTGCACAGCAGGAAATTCCAGCCTCCACAGCAGTTGTTTTCCACCTGACCTCTAGCTGCCTTCATAGTCATCTGTCCCTGTACTGCTGCAGTGTCTTTGCAGAGGCACGGATAGGAGGAGATTTCAAATAGGAACTATTTAAGTTTTTTCCCGTAGAATGTACTGTGCCCTCATGGAAAGATTCTAAATAGTTCCTTTAACACTGTGTTTCAGCAAAACTGTGGTTCATGATACTCTTTTGGACTAACTGGGGCATCTTTTATAACATTGTTTTAATCAGAAAATAGATTGTATTTCAAATAGCCGGCTTACACACCTACTCCTATGTGGGAATCAGATAATATATTTAAGGTAATACATCACTCTAAAATAGATATAGTTGCCTTTCCCTTTTCGTATAGGAATGGCAGTATTATGGGCCCTTAGGAGATTCCCCAGAGCTTTGGATGAATGCTAATATATGCATGAGGCACCTACACCTTACAGTTCCAGAAGGACAGGGCCTATTCGGGAGTAGGTACTTGTCGTACGTACCTGCAACAGTAAAAAGAAGATCAATTGTAGCAGAAGTGAGCCTTGACCCTCTCCTGGAAGCTGTGTTTTCAGCCTGGTATAGTCTTTCATTAATATAATCTGTAATGCAGTATTAAATATTGTTTTCTTTTTAAGTTTGCTCTTGTCACTCAAGGCTTATCTGTCTAGTTTCCTAAGAGGTTTTTGTGTGAGTGGGGTGTTGCCTAGTTAAGATCCAGATGTTTGTATAGGAATTCTGAATCGCTGAGTATCATAAAGTAATCTTGACCCATTCATTGTAGCTCACAGCAGTTCTTCATTGCCATGGACCATGCCATAGCCTTTGGAAGTATGTTTTTGATAGTCAGTGAAAGACCTTTCTCTGATTCCTCATCCCGTTGGGGATTTCCTAAGGTGGTAGGGATGGTCAAGCTGGTAACTATTTGGCCCGATTGGCAGGTTTGCTCTTTATGTTTAAAACAGCCCATTCTCATCATGTGGGTTTTCATGCCCTTAGTACTCTGCTAGTGTATTACTGGACACTATTGCAAAAAAGGCTTCCATGTCTTAGCACTAACACTGTGAAGCCTCTTCTTTTTTTCCAGCCTTGAAAGTAGAATCACTGATAGGTTTTTGGCATGCATCATTGTTAATTCTATAGAATTATCCACTGAATAAAACTTTAATCACTTTGGTTCCAGAAGCCTGAAAACCAATAGTTTGAATTCCAATACCTTAACAGCACAAAACCAATTTATATGATGGCGGTTTGTTATATAAAGCATACAAATTTGGTGGCTGAATAGAACATTTGAGGTTAGCTGATATTGATTGCAGCACCAGTATTGATTTATTGAGGAAGAGTAGTACAGGACTTTTCCATTGTGTTATATATTATTTAGTTTACTTGACTTGAGCTTATTTGTTACTTTTCTTTTCTTTTTTTTTTTTTTTGTCTTTTGTCTTTTTTCCATGTCCGGCAACGGATCGCAACCCTCAGTGTTGCCCCCGTACCGGACCGGGGACCGGCAACGGGATTGCAAACCTCGGCGTTGTTCCCGCGCCTCGCTCAGCCAGTGGGATCCGAACCCTCGGGCGGGAGCGCTGCCGCGCTTCCCAAGCGGCGCACTATCCAGTGCGCCACCGGGCCGGCCCTTATTTGTTACTTTTCTAAGTATTGAGGATTATACTGTAATTTTAAACTAAGTTATATAACATATAATCTGTTTAAGAAAATTACTTTTACATTATATCAAGTTTTTATTTCCAAATTCACCAAATGAAAATTAATTTTTTTAGAAAACTGAAGCAGCATAAACACAATACTTCTGTACTTTGACCTTTTTTAAAGATGGCACCCAAACTCATTAGATTTTAGAAATTAGATCGGCTTTTTGTGAAAGTGAAAGCATGATTTTGCAAGCATGCTTATCAATAACAGTTGATTTTTATTTGATTCTGCTGAGTTTTTTCCCTTACTTTAGGCAGCTAATCCAGGTTGTTTTCTGGAAGATTTTGTGAGGTGGTATTCACCCCGGGATTATATTGAAGAGGAGGTGATTGATGAAAAGGGCAACGTGGTTCTGAGAGGAGAACTGAGTGCCCGAATGAAGATCCCAAGTAATATGTGGGTAGAAGCCTGGGAAACAGCAAAGCCAATTCCTGCTAGAAGGCAAAGGAGACTCTTTGATGATACACGGGAAGCAGAAAAGGTAATTAAGGTTTGAGTCTCTAATACTAGATAGAATGCTAATTATTGTTCTTGCATTTTAGAAACTTACTATTATAGACATTAGAGTTTTGTACATACTTGAGAAGCAAAGCATTGAAATTCAGTGAGCCTTTTATATATCTGGTATTCACATTTAAAGTTTTAGAACTAGTTACAAATAGGCCAGGGAAAAGACATGCATAGTTTAGGTAGAATGCTTACCACTGGACTGTCTCACAATATGTGTTCGAAGCATTAAAATGGGCATGTCCTTTGACCTAGCAATCCTACTACCAAAAAACTTACTAAGGAAATAATGAGAAATACACAAAGATCTATGTATATGGGTGGTAGTCAACGAACTTCTTTAGTGAAAAAGTAGAAACAACCAAAGTTTCCCAAAATAGGGGCTTGGCTGTATAAATTATGGTACAGTGGGCCCTTCATATCCATGAGTTCTTTATCTGTGGGTTCTGCATTGCAGATTCTTCATGCATGGATTCAGCCAACCTCAGGTCAAAATATTTAGGAAAATAAATAAAAAATAACAATACAACAGTATAAAATAATACAAGTTTAAAAATACAATTAAGTATTTATATAGTGTATATATTGTATTAGGTATTATAAGTAATCTGGGGATGATTTAAAATATACAGGAGGATGTGGGTAGGTTATATGCAAATACTACATCATTTTATGTAAGGAACTTGAGCATCCTTGGATTTGGTGTCCTGGGAGGTTAGGGGGTGTCATGGGACCAATCTCCCAAGGACAGCAAAGGACAACTATATATCCATTTAGTGGACTGCTTTGCAACTTAAAAAAGCATTGAGTTCTGGAGAATAGGGGAGCCTGCCTGATATAAAATTGCCCTGCACACCCTCCCATTCCCCCTTCTCCTCCAAAAAACCTAATGGAATCAGTAATTAGAGTAAATAAATCCATGTCTTTAGCATTACTAAGAGACAGAGATTACACTGACTTTCAAATTAACAGTAAGTAGATGTGATATTGTGAACTATATATTTGGTCTTCTTCCAGTTTCCTAGCATAGCACTCCTAAAATCCTCAAAGTGATAATTGTCTTTTTGTATGCTAATGATTGATTTGTTCTTCTGTGTAGCTTCAGAATGGGGGCTGTTCACTGTAAAGACTAAGGTATGATTAGAGGATTGGGACTCTCAGCCACACCCTCCAACCTCTGGGGAAGGTAGAGGAGATAAACATAGCCAGTTATTTAATCATATATGCGTATGTAATGAAGCTTCCATAAAAACCCAAATGGGCTGGGTTCAGGAGTTTCCACGTAGCTGAACATGTGGATATTCCTGGGGGGTCGTATGCACAGAGAGGGCCTAAAAGCTCTGCATCTCTTTCCACATGCCTTGTCCTATGTATGTCTTTATCTTTATCCTTTGTAGTATCTTTTAGAATAAATCAGTAAAGTTAAGTATTTCCCTGAGTTCTGTGAGCTGCTCCAGCAAGTTAATAGAACTAAGGAGGAGGTTGTAGGATATATAGCCGGTTAGTCGGAAACAGAAGCACGGAGAAAAGTAACCCAGGGCTTGTGATCAGCATCAGAAGTGGGGCTAACTAAGCCTTGTGAGACTGAGTCCTCAACTTGTAGGATCTGATACTATCTCTAGGTAGTGTCAGAATTGAATTCAATTAGAAGACATCAGCTGGTATCTGCTGCAGAACTGATTGCTTGCTTGTTGGTGGAGAGAAATCCCCACACATTTGGTCATAGAAAGTCTTCTGTGTTGATTGTTGTTGAGTGAGAGAATAGAAAAAACAGTTTGGTTTTTATTCCTATATACTCATCTGTTGTCAGAAACATGTTGCAAGAGAATGTGGGAGAAACTGAGTTTTTTATTCCTGCATACACACAATAGAGAAATAAGCCAAATTCCATTGAAGCTTCTACTGCAGTAAGCGTATGGATGTAGTGTGGGGGGCAGGGAGTGTTAAGAAAGAGGGCCAAGAGATAAAAAAGATTTAGGCAAAGCACAGAGTCATCCCAGAAAGGGAGGCTAACACTGTGTGCCAAAGTACTGAACACGGGTAGGGCTTAGTAGTTCACAGCACTGGCTATAGGGAATGGGCTTTGAACAGGCCTAGAAGTGGAGCCTTGGAAAGAATCAGATATGTAGAGAAGGAATGATACCCCTTAGAGATAAAGCAATGATGGGAAAGAAGGAAATAAGAGAGGGAAGTTAAGGATCCTGCAGAAATGAAAGAGAAACTACAGATGAGGGTACCTTCAAACGATGTGTGGCAGTACTAGAAATAGAAGAGAGCAGACCACATCCATACAAACTACTTTAAAAACAAAATGCAAAGTGGTCATTTCAGCTAATGAAAATATTTCCCAGAAAAGCAGCCACAAAGCAAAAGAAAATTGGAACATAACACTACAGACTGAATCACATATCTTCAAACAATCATGGAAGATATGAAAAATCACGTTTAATCGGTAATACTAAAACCAAAAGCAGAAATGTACCAAAAAAATCTAAAAAACCCACAAAGAAATGAAACCACAGCTAATTTAACTCAGGATAGAAGTAGAAGAAAAAGACAACCATATCAAAAATGAAGACTAAATTACAAGGAGCACATGAGGGAGTATATTCATATTTAAATTTAATAAAAGGCATTGACAAAAAGCAGAACAGCCAAGAGAATGAAAATGAGATAAAGGAGTACAAGAGGTTGGAGAGAAAGTAGTGGAAATGAAAGATAAGTAGGAATAATATTCATTTCATCAGTGTTCTTGAACAAAAATCAGAATACTAGGTAGACTAATTTAAAACTGCAATCTTGTTGCTTTGCGTTGCTTCGCCCCCCACGGATTTGTTACCCCACTTCCCCTGGGTGACAGAGATGCAAAGGATTACTCAAAGCTCATCTCTACTGAGCGGTGAGAGGCCCTGAAGTGGTTAATCTCCTGCCGGAACCCTCAAGAGAGATGCATTCCTTCCTTGGGAAATTAACTCCGAATTGAGGTTCTCTTCCTGCATTTATTTTCCAGACTAGGAAGTTACAGGAAGAGACATAGGTGGGGTTATAGTTTAACAGTATAGGCTGGTACCTTTCAGTGAAACAAGCCAGATGACATTCCAGTAGACAGTTAAGTGGTCCTATCAACAACAGTTTGATCTTAGCAAATATTCCTTCTTAACAGGAATCTCTCAGTATCTTTACATAACAATCAGTAACTTGTCTGTCTTTGAGCCAGCAACCTGCTGTGCCACAATTCTTAAAGACTTATACCCTGAGGGAAATTTCCAGTCCTTGCAAGATCCAATATTTGAAACTGCAAGGCTTTGGAAAACCAGGCCCTGTGAAGTACATATGCTTTATAGTATATTCTACACAATCTAAGAAAACCTAGATCTACATATTGAAAGCACTTACCAGGTGCACTGGAACATTGACCAGGAGTCTCAAAATCCAAAATGTATCATTGTAAAACTACTAGACCATAACTATTTAAAAAAAAATCTTCAGAACCTCCAGGAAAGAAGATGAAAATAACTTGCCAGGGGAAGATAATTAGACATCAGATTTCTCAAAAGCAACCCACAAAGCAAGGCAACATGGAAGGGACAGCCTTTTCAAAAAATTTAAAGAAACACTGTGAACCAAGGATTTTTCTATCCAGCCAAGATGTCTAAGTATCAAGCCTATAAAAAACATTTTTCCCTAGTTTTTGCATATAACAATGCTGTACGCATGTGCCCTTCCTAAGGAAGCCACTAGAGCGGCACTGTCCAGTAGAAATTTCTGCATTATTAGAAATGCTTTTTATCTATGCTGTCCTAAATGGTAGCTACTGGCCAAATCTGGCTTGAATGAGCACTTAAAATGTGGCTAGTAGAACATAGGAACTGAAGTTTTAAATGGTCACATGTGTCTAGCGGCTACCTTACTGAACAGCATAGTGTAGGAGGGTGAATTTCACCAACTAAGAGATGGCTGGGGAAACTTTAGTGAAGGACTGATGGTGAGCATTTTATTTTTTAATTTTAGAGCTAAAACTCAAGGTCGAAGAGGAATGTGTAAAAATTATGTTTAGACAAAGAACAAATGCAATCAAAAAAATTGGGGGGGGGAACACTGAGGGTTGCAATCCGTTGCCGGACACGGAAAAAAGACAAAAAAAAAAAAAAAAATTGGGTTGTCTGTTTTCCTATTATTGAATCTTAAATGTTCTCTGTATATTCAAAAAAAAAAAAAATTGGGGGGAAAAGGGGGGGGGAGTAAAATAAACCACTGACTCTTACATGGATAATAGGTGCTAATCAGAGGATACCATTTAAAATTGTCAGACCAGATTGTAAAACAGTTAAAGATATAAGGGAATTAAGGGCACCATAAAAGGTATTAATGCAGATACCTACTAGACTAGAAATACAAACTTTCCTACATACCAAAAGAAAATTTTTTTAAAAAGCAGAGAAAACATACCAAATAGAGAAACATACATAATAAAGATCATATCACACAGAGAATAATTACAATATAAGATAGTCATATAAAACCCAACTGTCTGCTGTAAACAAGAGATTCTGTGATTCAGAAACGCTACAAATTAAATGATGGACAAAGATTTACCAGGTGAATGAAAACAATAGAAAAGCAAGGGTTATAATTCTTAAAGTAGAATTAAAGCAAAAAAGCCTTAAATGAGACAGGAATGATTAGTTTATAATCTAAAAGTTATTTTCACTCTGAGGATCTAACAGTTATCTAGTACATCTTTATGTACTAGATGACATAGTAACCACCTATATAAAACAAACTACAGGGCCGGCCCGGTGGTGCGCTGCTATAGTGCGCCACTTGGGAAGCGCAGCGGCGCTCCTGCCGAGGGTTCGGATCCCACATACAGACTGGCCGCTCACTGGCTGAGCGAGGGGCGGGAGCAACACCGAGGGTTGCGATCCCGTGGCCGGTCCTGGTCCAGTACGGGCGCGACACTGAGGGTTGCAA